CATAGAGTGGGTCTGTGATACTTGTTCAATAGTTTTAGTCAGCAGTATTTGGGTCTTTTCCTACAGTTTTAACTCTTATACTACGTTGTTTTAAGACTATTTTGAAGACTTTAAGGGTTCCTAACCATCCTAACCTCCTCACACTCTTATTTACTCAAACTCCAAATTCTTTCTCAAATCTTCTTCCCAAGAAAGCTAAGGTTCCAAGGCTTTCAAGTCTCCATTTAAGATTTAACCTAGGGTTTCATCAAGATATGTGGAGCTTCATCAATGGGTCCTTCTTCACCCATTGAGTACCAAAGAAACCTCAATTTCTCAAGTTATGATTCATGTCATAATTCCAGTATTTCATGATTTTCTCATGGGTTCAATTGCATTTGAGTTTTCTCACCATGAATGATCCTGTTATACATGATTTGATCATATTTTAATGTTTTCAATGATATTTTCATGAACTCATGCTATGCAAGTATTTTATGATTATGAATCAAACTATGTTGATATGCATGCATGATGATATGAAGGATTTACAAATCAAGGATGCTTTTGAATAAAGTATCATCAAGTTAATATGAAATATGATGCTTCCGATTGAAGTATATCTCATTATGAAATACTATCATGATTTAGATGCTTTTGATTAAAGTGTCTCATATGACTATGTGTGAAATCATGATTAAAAGGAGTTATTCTTATGACTATGAGATTATGTACGAATGATTCGGTCTTACTAGTTATTACCGTTTCAAAGATGATGAAATATGATTATGCATATTTTTGTTTCGAGATTACTTAGCACCGAGTTGGACTAGTGGAGATTACATAGGTCCCAAAACTACATACTCCCATAGGATTTTGTCTTAATTAACTCTAGCTAGTGGATCTACCTAAACTCATGATTATGGTCCTTACCTTGGAAAGTAGGACACTCTCTCTTCGATTTGAGAGAAGTACATTAAACTGAATGTTATAGCTCACTTGTTTTTTTCAGTTAACGTATCTTCCATATACACATATGTAATGACTATGATTTACAGACTAATGTATGACCTTGTTCTATGTTTTCAGAATTAGATCATCAAACTTCATATTATGTTTACTTGGTCTTTGCATTATTATGTTTTCAGACTTATCATGTTATTATGCCATGTATATTCATTTCCCATATGTAGTACATTCCATATAGTGACCGTATATATTCTTGTGCCTATATTATTTTATAATATAAGTGTTTACACTTCATATCAGGCTCGTGGTTAGTATGGAGTCTTATCAGTCTTGCTTGGTATTAGTGATTCCTCATGGTTTGGGCCATACCACTTATTCTTTATTTATTTATCCTTTAAGACTTTATTTCAATATTCACATGTTCTAGTGAGATAGAGCATTGTCCTGTAACAGTTGTAGTAGAGGTTTATTCAAACATTAGTACTTCCGCTTATGAGTCTTGTATTCAGATTTTTCCATATATGTTGAGATCACCAATTAAGACTTTGATTCCACTTATCTCTTTAATTTAGTTATGTATATTATCTAAGTGTCATGCTACATCATGTGGTTTACTTAGAGTCTGTTAGGATTCTAGGTACCATATCACGTCTAGGGGGTAATCTTGGGTCGTGACAAACTTGGTATTCAAAGCATGAAGTTCAAGTGTTTTAGGGTTTCTGACAAGCCGCATTAAATAGTATCTTATTAACAAGCCGCATTAAATAGAATCTTATTAACAAGCCGCATTAAATAGAATTTTATTGATGAGTGTGAAGTGCGCCACATTTACGAATATGAGGCTATGAGATGCTTCAGAAACTTCACTTCTTTCATAACTCCTAAGTCGTGCGAAAGAGTTGAACTCTCTAAGGTTTTCTTCTAACTCATGTTCTATACGTAACAGTACAATGCCTCCATGAAGAGCTCTAGTGAGAAGGAACTTGAATGAGAAGAAAAAATCACCACAATCTCTGATTAATCCATTGGTTGAGCAAGTCACTCATGCATAATTTAGGGCTGCTTTCCAAGTGTTAGACCAACCCATGACTGCTCAAGCTAACCGTGAGGTTATAGCTCCCATGAATTCAAATATGGGTATGGCGTCAATTAGAGTTTGAGACTTCACAAGGATGAATCCTCTGAAATTCAATGATTCTAAAGTGGACGAGGATCCAAAAGAGTTTGTTGAGGGGGTTGAAAATATTATTGAGATTATGGGTGTCACTCCAGTTGAGGGTGCGGATTTGATTGCTTATCACTCCGATAAGGTTGCCCAGATTTGGTTCAAACAATGGAAGGAAGAAAGGGATTGTTGATGTGGGTCCTTTGGATTGGGACAAGTTCAAAGGTAGTTTTCTAGATCGATTCTTCCCTATTTAGATTAGAGAGGATAAGGTACAACATTTCATTAACTTGAGGCAAGGCAACATGAGTGTGAAGGAGTATGCTTTGAAATTCACCCAACTCTCCAAGTATGCGCCGCTATGGTAGCCAACTCTAGGCCCGTATGAGTAAGTTCATTTTCGGTGTCTTGGAGATGGTGATGAAAGAATGTGGAATTGCTATGTTTATCAAGTTCAAGTACGCACTCAATACACTATACATTTTGTGTACTGAGTGCGTACATTCTTGTGCCTATATTGTTTATAATATAGGTGTTGATGCTCCATATTAGGCTGGTGGTTAGTTCAAATTCTTATCAACCTTGCTCAGTATTGATGAGTTCTTATGGTTCGGGGACATACTATTTATGCTTTCTTTATGATCATTTCAGAATTTATTTCAGTTTTAAGATATTCGAGTGGGCCTGTCCTAACAACTCACTTATGTAGTAGAGGCTTATTCAGACATTAGTACTTCCACTTATAAGTCTTGTATTAAGATTTTTCCTTATATGTTTGAGATCACCAATTGGGACTTTGATTCCGCTTATCTCTTTTTTATTTTAGTTATATATGTTATCTTAGTGTCATGCTACACTATGTGATTTGTTTAGAGTCTCTTGGGATTTTAGATATCATGTCACATCTAGGAGGTAGTCTTGGGTAGTGACATGCCACATGACACAAAGTTGTCCATGTGGAGGGCATACATAGAAAGAAGACTAGTTCATAGTGGAAGGTTCTAGTGATGTGTGCAGAAATTCCTTGGAATACCGAATACCTTAGAATTCGATGGATTTACATGGAAGGTCCTAATAATATTCTAGTTGTATAGAGTATTGTAGAAAGGGGACTTATAATGTATAGGGACATGTTTAACAATTATTATTTACATATTAGCCCCTAAGTTAGTAGTATATAGAGGAGTATCCATTTATAAAATCATCAAACAAAAATCAATCAAAGTTCTCTACACAATTCTTCCTAACAACTCTCTTGTGTGATCTCTACAATTCTCTTAGTGATTCCTAGAGCCTTAGGTTGACTTAGCATAGCAAGATCGTGAGTAAGTGGTGCAAGAACGTGAGCAAGTTGTTAAGTGTCGCACATGCTACGCTTATGCCCTAACGGTGGGGCCTTATGGGGAAGGGCCCAGCCCAATAGGGACAGCACACCCCCCACTCCAAGCGCACCTCTGTATCGACTGGCTAAAATAAAGAATGATGAAACCTGTGGCCAGGCATAAATAGAGGCATTCCTCGGGTGATTTCGTGCTTCTGCTTCTTCATGTGGATTCCCTACCCAAAGGGGAGGGGTACGGGACAGAACGTAACACTACGCTCAATTCTCAACTAAGTAGGCATTTGGTCATGCAATTACATCTCATAATTTAAAATCATGAGATGGAATCAGCATTGTTCATGTGATGAAATTCCAAAGTCTTCAAAAAGTTTGATTTAGAATTTTCATATCACGATTTCACAGTTTTCAAATATAAAATTTTACCACAAGTTTATATTTTGTAAAAAATAAATCCACCATTTTATATTTATATATTTTTTTGCGAGAATATCAAAATAGTGATAAAATATTCACGGAGTATGAACATGATGATATAGTTACTAATGATATTGACCATATTTAATTTTTATTAAAGAGTAGTACACTACAACTCATATTCAATTTAATTTATTTTTTTTATTTAACTAAAATTTGATCAATAAATGTTGTATATTTTTAGAATAGTTTTGTGATAGCGTATTTTAATGATCTTATGAATTTTTGCTTATTTGGTAAGATTATACAAAGAATTGAGACAATTTTGATAGTTTTCAATGATGTTCTTATGTTTATGAGCAAAAAATACAACTTAAAAAATTTAAATTGTATATCTAAACAAAACTTTAACTTCATCTCATCTAATTTCGTACCATAATTTTAAATCACGATATCATCTCATATGATCAAACGGGACCCTAAGTTACTAAGATTTCCTCTAATATTCTTTTCAAATTGTATTGATTTTAATTAACATTGTTAAGTTAGTACTCTCTACGTCTCATATTAGTTGGACACTTTCTATTTTTATACGACGATTAAGCAAATCATTAATGGAGTAATCAATTGTACTATTTTGTCCTTTGTTTATATTAATTAGCCTCTTATAAAAATAAATTTTGAATCTTCAAAATTTGTTTAAACTTCCAAATGTCATATTAATTATAGGGATAAAATAGAAAAAAATAATTAATTCTATTATGATTTAGTAAGTGATATGAGACAAATATTTTTAATAAGATATACTATATTGATAGATTATAGAGAGAACAGTAATAATTTGGATTCCAAATCAATGGATGCGAATGCAAGTTCATTCATTCAAAATTAAGAGAAGGAAATAGCATTATTGCCAAAGTATAAGGGGGTGTATGAGTAATAAAAAACAATCGCGATACAAAAACTTCTAGAGTATTCCAAAGAAGGACAAACAATACGTCATTTGAACGGCTAAGATTGAGTAGAAGGTTCAAGAGAAACAAGGACCGTCTATTGAGAGCCTTTGTGGTTGGTTTCATTATATAACCTAATCAATCTCTTCACAACGCTCTCTAGCAGTTTCCTTTTATCCAAAGTAGAAGATAAACCCACTCCCCAGCTACTTCTTCAACAACGCTATAGTAAAACCCTAATCTTCTTTCAAGGTAAGCTTTAACAAATTTCTGTATTCTTGGTTTCTTGTAGGTAAATCTCTCCTATTCTTGGTGGCTAGTTGCATTTTTTTTCTGCTATTTGTGTTTTGTTGCTTCTTAGTTATTTCATCGTTGAACCTAAAAAAGTGTTTCTTTTGGGATAAGGAAATGTAATTCTGGTTTTGGTTAAGAGAAAACATGTATTGTTAGAGTGTTGAGTCCACAGTGGTTGGGGAATGGTCACTTGATTAATTCTCTCTTATACGTATAGCGGTGACGAAGGATAAGTCCGCTATTATTAAGATTGTTATTAGTTTTGTTTCAATGATGTTATAGATTTGTATGGTCAAGAGTATCTGTTGAGTCTGTCAACTGATTCACTTGTGGAGTGCGTTTGACTGCCTTTATCTAGATAGCTAAGCAAACCGAGCCAATTGAAAACCATACATTTTACTGTTTGGGTTAGTTGGAGGCATCTCTTTGTTTGGTATTTCTGAATCTGTACCAACTCTTGCTGTTATTTACTAATATATGTTGATGTTGATTAATTATGTGATGATTTTTTTTTTTGTTTTAGGGATAGATGGCATCTACTTTTGCTGGTATGTCCTCAGCAGGTCCCTTGGCTGCTCCCAGCACTTCCTCAAACAAGCTTTCCTCTGTTGCTAATATATCTTCCACCTCTTTCGGGAGCAAAAGAAATGTTGCACTAAGAAAGTCACGCAGGCAGACAATTTTGGCTGCAGCTAAAGAGTTGCACTTCAACAAGGATGGGTCAGCTATCAAGAAGCTACAGGTGCGCTTTTTGACTAAATTATCAACTAGATTTATTATTTATACTCATTTGTATGCCTTGTTGAATACTTGGTTTTCCTTCTGTCACAGAATGGTGTGAACAAACTTGCTGATCTAGTTGGAGTTACTCTTGGCCCAAAAGGCAGGAATGTTGTCCTTGAGAGCAAGTATGGTGCTCCAAAAATTGTTAATGATGGAGTTACTGTGGCCAGAGAGGTGTGTTTTGAAGACATAATATTCTTATCATATCTTTAGCTGTTTCAATTAATTTCTTGTTGAACTTCAAGCTGTTTTGATATGCTATGTTTTTATTCATGTAAAACTGTGTTTTGACTTTCAGATTAAAAAAAAATGTCTCCTTGCATTCTTCATTGCTCGTCTATTTGACTAGTCTCTAGTAGCTTAAAGTTTGACTTGATCAAATTGCTCTTTATCATTCTACAAGGTTGAATTAGAGGATCCAGTAGAAAACATTGGTGCGAAACTAGTGAGACAAGCTGCTGCCAAAACCAATGACCTGGCTGGGGATGGGACTACAACATCTGTCGTGCTAGCTCAGGGCCTAATTGCTGAAGGTGTTAAGGTATATTGGGAAATCCATATGCTGCTGAAATGTTTCAACATGTTAAATCTACTGGAATTATTTTTTTTACCAACTGAGATTGTGTAAGCAGGTGGTTGCAGCTGGTGCAAACCCTGTCCTAATCACCAGAGGAATTGAGAAGACAGCAAAAGCATTAGTAGCTGAGTTGAAGAATATGTCAAAAGAGGTATTTATGTTCATCAATGGGTCTTTGAGTGAATGCAATGATCTGAATGTTTGTTTTGTGCTGTTAGCTAATGGGTTGTGTATCAATTTGCTATTTTTCGGTGGATGAGATATACTGAATGAATGCAAGCATATATACTATTAAATGAAATTGAGATCGCTGATCAAGTGTTCATGCAGGTGGAAGACAGTGAACTAGCAGATGTGGCTGCAGTAAGTGCTGGGAACAATTTGGAAGTAGGGAGTATGATTGCTGAAGCCATGAGCAAGGTTGGAAGGAAAGGTGTTGTGACACTAGAGGAGGGTAAAAGTGCTGAAAACAGTCTGCGTGTGGTTGAAGGAATGCAATTTGACCGTGGTTACGTCTCTCCTTACTTTGTTACCGACAGTGAGAAAATGTCAGTTGAATATGAGAACTGTAAGGTGGGTTTCTTTTTTCTAGCTTTACTCTACAGCTTAAGAGGTTCATGTCTCTTTGAATGCATAGTGTACCTGTTGCTGATGTTAGGTATTCTGAAATGCAGTTGCTACTGGTTGATAAAAAGATAACAAATGCAAGAGATCTTGTTAATGTCCTGGAAGATGCTATCAGAAATGGTTACCCAATTTTAATTATTGCCGAAGATATTGAGCAAGAAGCTTTGGCGACTCTTGTTGTCAATAAGCTTAGAGGTGCCTTAAAGGTTGCTGCACTTAAAGCTCCTGGTTTTGGTGAGCGAAAAAGCCAGTATCTTGATGACATAGCAACCCTTACTGGAGGTATCTAGTTGGTTCAGTTTTGCATCTTTACTTCTGATCCTTGTACCTGTTGGAATTCCTGACAAAACTGGAGATGGTGATTGCTAACATCAATTTATCCCTGTAATCTGTAGGCACTGTTATTAGGGAGGAACTTGGCCTTACCTTGGACAAGGCTGACAAGGAAGTTCTAGGCCATGCTGCTAAAGTAGTGCTGACTAAGGATGCCACTACAATTGTTGGTGATGGTAGCACTCAGGAAGCAGTCAACAAACGTGTTGCTCAGATTAAAAACCTGATAGAGGTTGGTGTTTGTTTGGTATTTGGTAAAAAATTGTTTCTCATTGATTCAGTTTCATATAATTTGTGAATTCCAAGCAGGCTGCAGATCAAGATTATGAAAAGGAAAAGCTAAATGAAAGAATTGCTAAGTTATCAGGAGGTGTGGCTGTCATACAGGTAACTTCCAGTCCCAATATTAAGAATTTTGGTTTGTTGAATGGATGTGCAGCTGAACTTTGTTGATGCTTTAATTGAATGTGAAGGTTGGAGCTCAAACTGAAACTGAATTGAAGGAGAAGAAACTTAGAGTGGAAGATGCTCTCAATGCAACAAAGGTAAGCTGGTTTGTTGCCATCTAATTAGGTTTCTGTCCTATATTTGGAATGTGTTGATGGATGATAATGCAAAATGAGGATACAAGTGCCAATCATGTTTGCTCTTTGCTTTCAGGCGGCTGTTGAGGAAGGTATTGTTGTTGGAGGAGGGTGCACGCTCCTCAGACTTGCTGCAAAAGTTGATGCAATAAAGGGAACCCTTGCAAATGATGAGGAGAAGGCAAGTTTGTTGTAGTTTTTGACGTTCTTTCATATTGTTGTGGGTTCATATGTAGTTGTTGATGCAATGGGTTGACGTAACCTTCTAAAATTTGTATAGTAGAAATGAGCCTGCAAAGTTTTTTTGTGTGCCTTTTCAGATCTGTTATCTTTCAAAAATAAGGATCTCTTGCAAAAATGATATAAAACTAAAATGAAATTTGTCAAGGGGTTTAATAAAACCAATTGACTTGTAATCGTTGTAATATCATTTATCTTACTTGCAGGTTGGAGCTGATATTGTCAAAAGAGCATTGAGCTACCCTTTGAAATTAATTGCTAAAAATGCTGGCGTTAATGGAAGTGTTGTCAGTGAGAAGGTACACATATATGCTTTGGTGATTAGGGAAAAAAGTGGACCATGCTACCCATGGAAAAAGCCTTCTGCTCGAGTTTCTCTTGATTACCATTGTTGATCCTATGATTTTGAGTTTCATAATCGAAATTCTTATTTGCCTTTCAGGTGCTGTCAAGTGATGATCCCAAATTTGGATATAATGCTGCAACTGGCAACTATGAAGACTTAATGGCTGCTGGCATCATTGATCCAACCAAGGTAAGGTTTTCTAGAATTCCATTGAGAGTCACTGATGATGTGGTCAAACACGTGAGATTTGTGTCTCTGAAGGATTCCCTGAATGGATTTGGTGTGTTTCCCAGGAATCCTTTGAATAGAATTGATGTGGCTACTGACAATTGTCGTTGCAATTTTCTGTCCTGATTCCTAGGGAGACGTCTCAAAATCTCCAAAAGTGTCTTTGGAAACTGAGCCTTAAGATGAGTTCGGATTATAGATTTAGGCTTTTGACGTGGACTAGAGGGATATTACAAATTTACGGGGATACTATGATTTGGATAGAAACTTGTGACAATGATGCTCATGGTTGTGTTTCACCAGAAATTAAATTGTAATTATTTGCTCTCTAGCACTGGTCAAGGTGAGCTTGGGCTTGAAATTATCTGCTCTCTGGCACGTGTCTGAAGCAATTTATGGCTTGAAATCAGAGTAGTCCATAAGTACATCAGATCACAGAATAGTTTCTTTACAGTGTATTTTTTACTTTCTAATCCTCTCTTGGGGAATGCCTAGAAGTGTTTAGTAGGAAAAGTGTAGGAGGAGGATGTCTTTCCACAAAATTGAGATTGTAGTACTTGTCTGAACTTTTTAGAGATGTAGTTGGTAACAGAAAATATGAGCATGTTTTAACTCTCTCAACTTGGTTTGTTGTTAGTACCGAAAACTGACATATTCGTTTGCCCTGTACAGGTGGTGAGGTGTTGTCTAGAACACGCTGCATCTGTGGCTAAGACATTCTTGATGTCAGATTGCGTGGTGGTTGAGATCAAGGAGCCCGAAGCAGCAGTTGCTGGCAACCCAATGGACAACTCAGGTTGCCTTTGAATTCCGATATTTGTAATTGCTTTCATCACTTGACATTTTCTTTCTGCTAATGCTGACTGTCATTTTGTTTACAGGATACGGTTACTAGGTGATTGAATGAAGGCTACTGATACCAGATAGATGAAGTTGAAAGCCTTTAATTTTTTGTAAAAGTTTAGGTATTGTTTGTTGAAAGGAATATATAAGATCCTGGTGGGAGTAGCAGCCTTCAGGGTTCGGCACTGTTAATGAACATGCAATCCAATGTGTAATTGCAGCTTCAGTGGATGTTGAGTCACGGGACATTAATAAATCTTCTATGTAATTTCTCATATTTCTAAGCTTTACTTGTTTCACCTTCATTAGTTGTGGAATAGCATAAGGAAGAAAAAAAGAGAATGTTAGTGCCACATAACATGACCTAATCTAATAATAACTGATATGTGAGAAAGATAGTTTATTTCCTCTTCTTTGGGATATTTTATTAGAAAAAGTAATGCATGTATTAGTTTTGGTACTGATTTGCTAGTGTTTTTCAATTTATGTATTTAATATCTAGCAATTTATGGTGGTACCAAAGCATGAATAAGCACAGTAACCAGTGGGATTAATTTGTAGTATATTAAATCAAACCGCGGATAAAAAATTAACTTTAGTCTAAGTAGTTTTAGCATTATTGCTATATTTTATGAGGTATAACTTTCTCTCTGACCCAATTTGGTTATTTATTTTGTAGTGTTTGCAATTTATGTATCAAGTTAAATTAATATTTAGCAATTAATGGTGGTATCAAGGCGATGAATAAGCACAGGTACCCATGTAATTGATTTTTAGTATGTCAAATCAAACCGTGCAGAAAAAATTAACATTAACCTAAGTAGTCTTAGCGTTATTATTATATAAAATATTTTTTAGTATAACTCTATTAGAAAGAATGTTCTAATTTCACTTAATATGAAATTTAAGGAAATAAAAAAAGGATTCTTAATTTTGTGGTTTTAAATTAAAGTTAACTATATATCAATATGTTTATAAATCTTATGACTTTAAATATGTTATGTGAAAAGTTGAGATTAAAGTGTTAAAAATATTATTATTATTTTAAAAATAGATTAAAAAGGAAAAAAAAAGTAAACATTCTTTTTGAATGAACATGTATACACTTTACAAGTGTGAAGTTTTGTATAAATAGAACATGTGAACTCGGTTTATCTTTGTACAAGTGTTTCGATCTTGAACTAGTTTTGTCAGAAAAGTCCTTTGTGAAGATGATTAAGCGTATAATTAAATGAAGTCTTCAAAAACCTATAGAAGTTAAAGGTGGTTTAACATTGAACTAAAATTGATAACTCAAATAAAAAAAATATTGATTTAGCGAATTTTGATAATTGTTATTATTATTATTATTATTATTATTATTATTATTATTATTATTATTATTGAATTATCGATTTTTAATGGTTTAAGGTTTTTCTTAACGGGTTAATCGATGATAGTAGATTATATTTATACCACTCGACTTAGGACTAAGCTTCGTATTATTTTGGTTTTCTTAAACTCTCGATTATTCTACCATATGATAGTGTTTGCTTTTGTCCAATAGACAATCTGTCAACTCATGTGCATGATTCATTTTCAATGATTTTTCTAAGTGATTTTCAATGTTTTTTTATGTTATATCTTAACGGTTAGATTGACAACCGAACTGATAATGATCAATAACCGATAAATTGACAAACCTATATCTTTATAGTTCTATAACGATTTAGCATGTTTACAAATCAATAAATTTTAAAATCAAACCAAATTGATCGATACACAACCTTAATAGAAGCCGAATTCCACTGAAGATTTCAAATTTTGTTTTTGAAAACATACAAACAAACACCTTGCTGAATGGGCGAGAATTTTTTAGATATATAAAATTAAACTCATGCTTATGAAAATATTGCATGAAATTTTAGATTTATAAATACAATACTAGATTTTTCTTACAAATTTTAGATTTAAAAACACATGTTCATACTACCGTCCAAAGAGTTGCAACTTTTCTAAAAGGTTGACTTTACTGATAAGACACAATAAGCACATGTTCATACTATTTTTTTTGTTGGTTATAAATATAAAGCTTTTTCCTCACATAGGTAACTTGAATGTTTAATACCTCAATTAAAAAAAACTATAATTTGAATAGAATCCACGGTCATAGATCAAAACACAGCTAGTAGATTTCCCTAATGGAAGGTTCTGATAAATTTTTAATTAGGGTTATTTAAGTCTTTTTCCATTCTTACTTAGCCTAAAACCTCAATAGTTTAGTACCTAATTGGTCATTATATTGTAGTGTTATCTTAGAATACTCTCTATCTTTCTCCCCAAGCTTAGAGTAAGAATCAAGAAGAAATAACCTAGGTTTCATGTTTCTCAAGCAAGCTTTCTTCAAGAACTATATAAGAATATTATAGTGAAGAACCAAGTTCTTCCTCATACCCTACATCTGAATTTCAACTAGCAAGATCAAAACAAGGTTTTTATCCGAAAGTTCCGTTTGCTCGAAATTCTCGCTATATTCCTATTTTTGATTCTTGGTTTCATTATAGGGATTTCATTACTTTATATTATTAATGATCTTTGATTATTTTTCATGCTTAATATACCATGTAAATCCTTTGTAGCTAAGAGTTATTTGAATACTTTGACATACTATGTGGCGACATGGGGCGAAAAAAGGAAAGAGCCCCATATTTTGAGATGCTCTTCTCATGTTTTACGAATCTTACAACTCTCTTTACTGAGAGAGAATCCATATCCCTACTTGTGGTTTTTCTTTCATTCAATCATCAATTCCTACGGTAATGAATATGAGCGCAATAGAAATTCCTGAGGAGTTATACATTTGTGTATTGATAAGACCGTTTACTATTTCTTGAAGCTTAATCTCTCCCCCGGATGAACCATATAGCCAAGAGAAACCATTAACCAGAATACAAGAGCTTGCCCCACCCATAATTAAATATGCATTGTTTTTATTAGTAAAGTAAATTCCAAATTTAAACATTATTCTAGAAAGAGTTTGAAGAAAACATGAATTGCTTCAAGTACATTGTTTTCAACAAGAAAAACATGGTTAGCTCTAAATAAAACATTTCTTAGTTTCAAGAAAGTATAATATGTTTTTCATAATAGCATAGTCTTAAAGCAAGTTCAATATAGTTATAAAGAAGCATTTTGAAGTATTAACTCAAGATAGAGATTATCAGTTCTCCCCTAAAGTGTGATTTTTTCCTAAATGGGACATCATATAGTAACTGAGCATTATTGCATAATTTTGAAAATAGTATTGACCATCGAATTGGGTAAGGATTAGACAATCAAAACCCCATAACTGCGTCACCAACATAGGATAGGATCATGTTGTTTATTTGGGTGATTCCTAATAAAGCCCCTAGTAAGGGCTCATAGATTGAATCCATTAGTTAAATTTGTTCTTTACCCTGGCAAGGTATAAGATGATTCTGACAATGTGGTCAAGACGTTGTATCATCATGAGCTCATGTGATGATTGTCGGTTAGAGAAAATCCCTAAGAACAAAATATATATTATCTTTAATATTTTCTATTATTACATATATCTTAGTATAAAGTTGTGTTGTTAGAGTAAACATGCATGCTTTGCTATTCAATTTGACTTTATTTCAATTTATATTCAGAGTTACTCGTTCAACTTAATTTAGTTTAGTCAATTGTTCATTCAACTATATTACATACCGTACATTCCATGTACTTACGCTATTTGGCGTTACATCTTTAAATGATGTAGATTCACGTGTTCGTGATCGTCAGTAATCGCTTCAATGTGATCTCTTTTCATTAGCATGGTGAGACTTCCTCGCTTTCGGAGGACTCCAGTTTAGCTAGTTCAGTTCATTTGATTATCAGTCATTACTAGTAGAATAGTCATGTATCAGTAAGTCTTATCTCCGAGTCTATCTTCTATTTGATAAAGGTATCATAGACGAGTTAGATGATTCATTATTTTCATATATTTTTAAACACTTACAGTATTATTTTTTGACTTTTCAGACTTTTAAATAAAGTTTTTGCAATGATTTTTTTTGTTTAGATCATCCTAAAGCTCATCCTTTGTAAAGTTTCTACATATATTGTTCAATCTTTCAGTTTATCAGTAAGTCAGGTCAAGAGTTTCTTTGGAACTAGAAATGGTTCTAAATGTCAACCACGTCTAGAGTGTAGGCTTGGAGTGTGACACTCACATTGCTAAACCCAATATGTCATCTTATTCTAGAGGCCTAATTTGGTGTCAAGTGTCAAATCATGTGGCATGCCAAGTCAAACAAACAAGTCAATAGATTTATTCACATGTCAAAATGACATGACACCCCTAGTCAAATCAAAGGCCAATAAAAATATATCACATGTGTACAAATAACATCTTTTGACCAATCAAATATTCGCATGTCACTTAAATATGTTTGGCCAAGAAAACATGTCATCACTACAAGTCTTTCTTTCTACAACTATAAATAGAGGTTGTCTTAATTTTTAAAAAATCCATCAGAATTCTAACAAGAAGCTAAAGAGAGCTCGTTGACCAAACACCACAAATTTCTCTACAAGCATTCAAACACTCAATTATTTCTCTACAAGTTCTAGAGATCAAGACGATGATTCAAGATCAAGCTCAATGTCCCTTGAGTTCAATAAAAAGTTAATCTAGAGATCAAGCTCAAAGACCCTTGAATTCAAATACAAGACAAGATCAAGACCACAAACTTCAAGCCTTGGATCGAAGTACAAGTCAAGTTCAAGTTCATCAAGATTCAAGATCAAACTCGGAGACCCTTGAATTCAAAACAAGTCAAGATCAAGCTTCAAGATCTTTGATTCAAGTACAAGTCGTGATCAAGCTCGGAGATCCTGAATTCAAATACAAGTCAAGATCAAGCTTCAAACCCTTGGATTCAAGTACATGTCAAGATCAAGCTTCAAACCCTTGGATTCAAGTACATGTCAAGATCAAGTTCATCAAGATTCAAGATCAAGCTCAAAGGACCTTGAATTCAACTAAAAGCCAAGGTCAAGTTTATCAAGATTCAAAATCAAGCTCAAAGGTCATTTAAATCAAATACAGATTCAAGAACAAGTCCACGAGCTCAAGCTCATAGGCTCTTGAATTTATACTCAAAAAGAAGAATCAAATGATTCATATCGAACGTAACACTCATATATTAAAATTAAATACTACAATTGTTGTGATACTATTTTTTATCTCAATTTTTTTTTTCTTGATGCAAATTTTATTGTCTACAAC